CCCTCGTTAGCGCGCACGCCTAATTGGCTGCGAACGGTCCCGGGCGGAGGAGGCGGGCCCCGTGCGGGACACACGGATCGAGCCTCCGGGCGGGACGGACAGACGCGCTGCCCAGAGCCGGAGCGCAGTTCGCCGGCAGCTGTCGCGGTCAGCAGCGTGTCGCTGCGCCTCCGCTGGTCTGGAAACGGCACGCCTGTTTCCTCCGTGAAGGGGGAGGAGACAGCAACAGCTTTTAAATAATTGCGGGATCAACCGGCAGCTGAGGGGTCGCGGAGGCCCCGGGGCACGCGGGTGGGCGAGCAGGAGTTGGCCGGGACATTCCGCACAGGATGCGGCACCGGGCAGGGCCTTTCCTCCGGCCGGGCTCACAGGGCCTTGGGCTCGGGCCCTGGGGCGGGTCAGGCGCGGATTCTGAGTTTCTGTAGGGTCTTCGGCCCCTTCCCGCAGGCTCCACGGATCTTCGTCGCGCTGCGGGCTGCTCGCGCTCGCTTCTCGAGCTCTAGCTCAAGGTCTCTGCCCCCGGTCTCCTCCTGCGCGGCGCCCGCCCCCTTTGCGCTGTCAAATTAGGGCAGGCCGAGTGCCCGCGAGGGGCGGGGCTGGCGGCCCCGGGGTTGCTCGTCATAAGTGGAATCGAAAACCAAGAAGGCTGGACAGTTCTCTTGCCCTCGGCCCCCAAAAGGGGTACCGAAAAATCATGCCAACGACAGACGGCCTACACAACAACAAATACCCCTCAAGTAAGGGAAAATGTGTGTTTCCTCCAGAAATAAGACGGCAAACGCCCCTTTCCCATGTCTGAAGGAGTGAGGAAAGGCCGATTGCGGCTCGAGTATTTGTGCACATTTCGTCCACAACGGCGACGTTTGCAGCACTGGCCCTGCGGCCCTGAGCTTTGAGCCCTGCGTTCCCCGTCCAAGCGCGGGATGGCGGGTACTTCCCGGCGTGTCTCTATCCTCCTGAGCCCGCCAGCAAGCCGACCCGCCTCTGTGGACCCAGATGGGAGCCGGCGGTGGCGCGCGCGTGTGTGCAGGGTGTGAACGCGCGGTCGAGTGCTCCGGCGACTGTGCGCGCCTCCTCCCGCTGCGGTCCCCGGAGCCTGTTCCGCGCACAAGGACGGGTCCTTTGCAATTACCGCGGGCAATGATCCTTCGGAAGCAGAAATTAAAAGTTGGGAGAAATAATGGGGGACCGATCGGCTGTAATTTGGGCCATACTCGGACTTGCTGAGCCTCAGAGAGGCTGGGGCTGGGGGAGGCCCAGGTCTTCCCTCTCCTTTCTCCCTTCCCCGCCCCCTCCGCCCTCCCCGCTGCTGGACCATCCCGAGATTCTAATCAGACCCACAACACTGTGTCCTTCCTTGCCAGGACTTGATTATTCTTTATCTTTAAATTATAAATCACCTCTAGGGAAGGAGGTGGGTAATCTCTCATCGCAGGGAGGTAATTATCTCCTTCCCGCCCCCACCTTGGTCTTCCTCTCTCCCCCTCCCCAGCTGTTTGAATATAGATGTGCACGCCCCATATTCTCTCTCTCTCTCTCTCTCTCTCTCTCTCTCTCTCTCTCTCTCTCTCTCTCTCCCCCCACACCTTCTCTCTCACACACACTCATTGACAAGCATGCAGCACACGGAACGAATTCATTCATGAGAACCCAGATCCACACAGTGGGGCACTGGCTCACAAGTCCCTGGCATCCCTCCCTCTCCCTCCAGCCACCACCAGCTCCTGGCAGGATCACCTCTCTGATTCTTTTAACTCTTTGGGTGAGGAGGGCACCCAGGACCTCTGTCAAGTCCCAACTTCTCCTCTGCTCCCCAGGGAGGCAAGGCTTCTTAGTGGAGGAGAGAGCATTCCCTGGGGAGGGCAGGGCAGGGCAGAAGTACCAAGTACTTCTGAGCTGACTTACGGTGTTCAAGACTCAGAATGACAGAGCATCACACCCCTGCAAACACACACCACACAAAGTGCCTGTCACTAGCACAGGTCACTAGGTGAGGATCAAAATTGGCCAAACATCTAACAGCAGCCACGGTTGCACACCATATTGGGTGTGTGTGGCTGGCCAGGGTCTGATCTCACCTCCCCACACACTAGACACCTGCAAGTCAGGAATTGAGAGGACGCATCCTGTCCTCTTTCATTCCAAAGAGCATTCATGGAAAATGATTCTGTATGTGATGCAGATGTACTGTAATATGTGATGACTACCATTAAAACAGCAAATCTACTTCAAGA